AGGTGCTTCTCCTGGTCTCCCATGGGGTGCAGGGCCCAAGCACTTGGGCCATCCTCCACTGCCTTCCTGGGCCACAGCGGAGAGCTGGACTGGAAGAGGAGCAACTGGGACAGAATCCGGCGCCCCGACTGGGACTAGAACCTGGGGTATCGGCGCTGCAGGCAGAGGATTAGCCAAGTGAGCCACTGTGCCAGCCAAAAGACTTTGATAGGAAGAGCATTCACGGTGATTTGCATAACAGGCACACAATCCATCAGCACTCACTGGTGTATTTCACCTTTGACCTTTCTTTTGACCTGTGAGATATGGAGACTGGTTTAAATGATTGGGATTTTTTTTTTTTTTATGAGGCTGTGTTTGAGGACAGAAGGAGTGTACAGCCTTCTTTGTCACAGGAGAAGTTGGTTGAGCTTAAGAAAGGTGACTTTGCTTGGGCACGTTATGAGTGTGATGTATTGATGCAGCTCGGAAGAGCTGGGTAAAGTTAGGACCACAGACAGGAAGTGACAGGCTGGGAGACGGAATGTGTGTTGGGAGGTGCTCCAGGAGGAGGGGGCCATGGAAGCAGTGGGTGTGGCCATGAGTGTGTTCCCAGAAGTGGAGACGGAAGGCTGAAGGCTGGCGCACCGGGGCAAGCCTTCTCATGTTGCCACAGCCAGACCCAGAGAAAGAAAGGCAGGTGAAGTGGGTTAAGCTGCCACCTGCAGCACCAGCATCCCATATGGGTGCTGGTTCGAGTCCCAGCTGCTCCACTTCTTTTCCAGCTTCCTGCCAATGTGCCTAGGAAAGCAGCAGGGGATGGCCCAGGTTCTTGGGCCCCTGCACCCACACGGGAGACCCAGAAGAAACTCCTGGATCCCAGCTTTGGATCACCCCAGCTCTGACCATTGTGGCCATTTGGGGAGTGAACCAGCAGATGGAAGGCCTTTGTCTCTCTCTGTCTGCCTCTTCAAATAAGTGAGGATATAAATGCATCTTAAAAAAAGAAAAGGAAAGAAGGCACACAGAAAGGAAATTGGAAGTGGGTAAAGCAGGGACCAGCCCATTTATGGGGCTGGAGGAAAAATGTGGCCCAGCCCAGACCTGCAGTCCAAAATGCTTTGCAAGATGAGGGTCAGGAGACTTCTTCCAGGCAGCTAGAATATTATTTGCTCCAGCTGTGCAAAGACTATTTGTTCCCCAGACAGCTGTGAGCGCCGGCTCCTTGGTGGTAAGTTGGTGTCGTGGTAGCTCTCGGGTGCATCTGCCATCTGCCTCATTTACGTGGCTCCCAAGTCTGCATTGCAGAGGGCCTTGCTGCACGGCCTAAAGCGCTGCGTTGCTGTGCACCCGAGAACTGCACTTGACAGCTGGAAAGAAAGTCTTGATGCCGGGCAGGAAACAACTTCCCAGTGGTTAGAGGACGGGATTTCGGGTGCTAATTTATCACGGTGCCTCTCCCGTCCAGCAGGCCAGTCTCGGGCTCTCAGAAGCCCTCCCCTCCTGGTGGCCCATGTCTCCCTTTCGTCACCCGCTGCAGCAGGGAGTTCTGTCCCACTTCTAGTTTCACCCCTGCCTCTCTCAGGCTGCTTGGGGATGTGGCGACAAGGGCCGGCTGACACCTGTTGACAACTCAGGTGCTTGGACAGTGAAGCTCATCTCCGAACCGCCGCGTGCCTGTCCCATTGCTTCTCGGTGCCTCACACCCCCTGTAAACTGGGCTTTGAACAATGATCCTGGTTTGAAAGCCACCTCCAAGCTTTCTGGCCTTGTCCTCCCCCTGAGGGGCTGACTCCAATGTCTCTTGTTGGAGCACCAGGGACGTCAGCTCTTTCCTGGGTTGGATGGGGAGACAGTAGGTATTTGGGAATGATAAGCCCACACTGGGTGTAGCAGTGCAGAGGGGGAAGACAGGGACAGGGACATGGAGACAGGGGGAAGACAGGGACAGGGACGTGGAGACAGGGGTAAGACAGGGACAGGGACATGGAGACAGGGGTAGGACAGGGACAGGGACATGGAGACAGGGGTAGGACAGGGACAAGGACATGGAGACAGGGGTAAGACAGGGACAGGGACGTGCAGACAGGGGTAAGATAGGGACAAGGACGTGGAGACAGGTAAGACAGGGACAGGGACATGGAGACAGGGGTAGGACAGGGACAGGGACATGGAGACAGGGGTAAGACAGGGACAGGGACATGGAGACAGGGGTAAGACAGGGACAGGGACATGGAGACAGGGGTAGGACAGGGACAAGGACGTGGAGACAGGGGTAGGACAGGGACAGGGACGTGCAGACAGGTCAAGAGGGTGAACCAGGAGGTGGTGTGGCGGTGCGGGGGTTAAGCTGCTGTCTGTGATGCCAGCATCCCACATGGGCGCCGGTTCCTGTCCTGGCTGCTCCACTTCCCAACCAGCTCCCTGCTAATGGCTTGGGAAAGAAGCTGAAGATGGGCCAAGTGCTTGGGCCCCTGCACCCACGTGGGAGACCCAGATGAAGCTCTTGACTCCTGGTTCCTGGCTTCAGTCTGGCCCAGCCCTGACCGTTTTGGCTGTTTGGGGAGTAAACCAGTCCATGAAAGCTCTTTCTTTCTGTAGCTCTGCTCCCACCTCCCTGCCCCCGTAACTCTGCCTTTCAAATAAATAAATAAATCTTTTTTAAAAATAAAAAAAGGAAGAAGGAGAACTGGTCCAGCCTGCTGAGTTCTGAAAGCAGTAGCATTCTTGATGGAAGTTAACTAGCACTGGAGGCGGTGAACGGAAGTCAGATGTTGTAACGTGAGCGTGAGATGATGCTGAGAGTTCCGGCAAGATCTGCCTGTGGGAAACAACCGCGGAATCTGGCTGTAACCCAGCGTGGTGGGGGGCGTGGTGTCTGCCCAGGGAGGAAGTGTGCGGCCTCCCGGAGGCTGTCCTGACGAGAGGGTAGAGGAGGCAGGCAGCAGAGAGGTTTCAGGGGCGTGTAGGAAAATGAATGAGACTGTGCTGCAGAGACAGGCCCCGGGCATGGGTCTGGAATACAACGACAGGGAGGCCCAGGTTCTAGTCCCGGTTGGGGCACCAGTTCTGTCCAGGTTGCTCCTCTTCCAGTCTAGCTCTCTGCTCTGGTCCGGGAGTGCAGTGGAGGATGGCCCAAGTGCTTGGGCCCTGCACCTGCATGGGAGACCAGGAGGAAGCACCTGGCTCCTGGCTTCAGATCGGCACAGTGCACCGGCCATAGTGGCCATTTGGGGGGTGAACCAACCGAAGGAAGACCTTTCTCTCTCTCTCTCTCTCTCTCTCTCTCACTGTCTAACTCTGCCTGTCCAAAAAAATAAAATAAAAAAATAAGGGAGGAGACCTGGGAGGTGGGAAATGTTGCAAATTGTGTTTGTCACCCGGAGTGTTGGTGTGCATGGGGCGGAGCCTGTTGGGTCTGCCTGTTGCTGTCTGCTACACAGGTGTTGAGGATGAGCGGGAACAGGTGACCAAGGGGGCCTCGCGTCTGTAGGCAGCTTGCTCTCCACTGGGGTCTGATCAGTCCCCTTGGAATCCCAGGGAAAACGCAGCCATGCCCCTGCAGCCGGGTCTCGAACTGCCTGACTCTTGCAACAGCGTCAGGTCTGGGTGATTGGTCTTCACAGGAGACCTCCTACCCAGACATCTTGCTGAGGGTGGGGCCATGTTGCCTTGTTGAAAAGAAAAGCGGGCCACAGTCTCCTGCTCCTCCTTGGCCCTGGTTTGGCTATGGCTGGTGCGGAAGAGGGAACGGTGTCAGGATCTCAGCTTCTTGGGCGACTAGGAGGGAAGGGGTGCTCTCTGCAAGGCAGAGATGACGAGAGGGACTCAGGGTCTGGGCGGGGAGGCTGCAGATGCCTTTTTGGACGTGTTGAGATGGAGGGCGGCCAGCACCAGAAGCGGAGCCAGGTGCACAGCGTCACTGTGTGGGCTGGAGTGCACCGGGGGGAGGCTGTGTTCCAGGAGCCGCAAGGTAGCAGCCGCAGAGCCCTCGGGAGAGGGGACAAGGAACTCAGCGGACACGGGTCTCGCAGATGCAGAAAGAGGAGGGGGTAGAGGACGCCTGGTGGAGAAGAGCAGCCCTGGGGCGGCGGGAGGGACGTCAGGTGTAAGAGAGCTGCGGGAGCCGGGAGGAGGGGGGCTCAGCCCTGCCCCAGCAAGGCGGGAGGTGCACTTTGCTGCCTTCAGAGACCTTTCACGTGACCTTGGGGAGAAGAATTTCTGTAGAGCTGTGCGACCATAGCCAGATGGCATGGCAGGGGGTGGTGTCGGAAGTGGCTTCGTCTCCACCGCCTGTTGGTTCTTTCTGGATCCGAGGAAACTGGGAATGTGTGGATGGGAGCCAGTTTCTGCTGTGGGGAGCATGGGCCTGGGAGGACGCCTGGGCTGGACCAAGGGCTGAGTGAGGGTCAGAGCCACAGCGAGTTCATGCGCCAGGGAGAGAGGGGCCAACGGACAGCAGGACCTGAGGCAAAGACAGGGGCAGGGTTTGGCCTCGGAAGGGAGTAGTGCACTCCAGCCGAGGGTATGGAAACTTCCAGAGCCTCACCGGACAACACTGCTGATAATGACGAGGAGGGCATCGCAGGGATGAGGGAAGACAAGCGAGTGCCACGGCGGGAGGCAGGTGTGACAAGGGCAGCGGCAGCCACTCTGGGCCCACTCAGCAACGGCAGGTGTGCCGGGCTCCGTCTTTCCTCCAGTCTCGGCCGCCCACGGCAGGGCCTGAAGCTCCCACTCTGTAGTGCTGTGGTGGCTGCGAGGCCGCCTGTCAGAGGGCTGCAGGCTCCCCGTGGGCCCGCGGGGGCACGTGGGCCGGGGTTCACAGGCCCTCCCTCAGGGTGATGTCGGTTGGGTTGTCTGTGTCTCACCCCTGCACCCTCTGTGCTTGCAGGTGCTGCTCTCGGGGCTCATCGGCGTCGTCTCCTGGAAGAGGCCTCTCTCCCTCGTGGTAAGTCGCGCCTGGGCTCCGGGCGGCCTTGGCTGGCGCTGCACCTGCAGAGGTGTGAGGGTGTGAGAGGCAGCGGCAGGAGAATGTGTGTTTCTTGGCAGCACGTGGTGTGCGGGCTTTTATGCAAATGGGTCCGTTGCTGGCCGCTGGCTCTTCAAAGCCCCTGTGTATCTTTTCTCCTTTTCTTTTGGATTTCAATTTATTTATTAGGGAGAGAGCAAGTGTTAGTGCGCGTCCATCTGCAGGTTCACTCCCTGGATGCCTGCAATGGCTGGGGCTGGGCTGGGGCTGAGCCCAGGAGCCGAGGAACCCAATCTGCCTGTCCCACGTGGGTGGCAGAACCAACTGCTTGAGCCACCATCCGCCGTCTCCCGGGGCGCAGGAAGTAGACTTGGCTGTGGAGCTTGTGTGTGAACCCAGGCACTCCAGCGTGGTGTCCCGGCTTCCCAGGGGGGACGTTAACCACCACACCAAGTGCTCACCCCTCACTGTGCACCTGCCGTGTTGCACTTCGGAGCATTCTTGGTGGGCGTCTCCTGGGGTGCTTGTGTCACCTCCTCCCTCTGTTCTGTTGTGGTGCCCTCTCGTGAGACGCATCGCGAACACTGACGTTTCAGAAGTGGGCGTGTAAGCGTTTTCTCTAGATGCTGAAACCGTTCCTGCACACGTATATGCTCGCATGTGGTCACAGACAGGACTCGTCTTATCAGAGCTACAGAAATCTAGCTTTGGGTATGTTTTGGAGACCGTAACATTCAGGGAGGGGAAAATGAAGGTTCTCATTTGGACGGGAGACTTGCTCTGCCATGGTGCTGAAGGTGATGCCCAGTGGGAGAGGGGAGGAGGGTGACGGTCTCTCCCTCCGAAAAATCCCCCAGGCAGGTCTGTGGCTGTTGATTTGTGTGCCTGTCCTGCCGGGTGCGCCCACGGCCATGTCAGCGCCAGAGGAGGAGATTTTCTGGATTTGCCTGGTAATGGAAATGACAGTGTGACGATTTTCTTTCATATCAATCAATTATTTAAAAATCTCTTTTTCAAATGGTCAGACTTAGAGATAATGATGTGTACTAAATATTCATGGAAAAGGGGAAAAAAAAACCATGTCTGTCTGTTGGAGACATCTCGCTCTCCGTGACGGAGCCTGTGACATCTGGAAGAGTGGAGTGGGCAATCAATTCACTTGAGCTTGCTCTTCTGTATCTCAGGCCGTGGGCGAAATCTCCTTTTAAAAAAGTCCCTTCCTGTAGAAATTTCAAGCATGCACCAAGCTAGAGAGGCAGGCATTGGGAACCTGTGTGTACCCCCAGTGCCTTCCATAAGTCAACATCTGCCCCATCTGCTTTGGGCTGCATCCCCTAGAGCTGTATTTTTTCTTTAATACTTTAATCTGTGTTTTATTTTTGCTTTACTTATTGTTATCATCGAATTAGTTGTGCTTATTTATGGGATATTGTGTGATCTTACATACATGGATGTGTCTCTGGGGTACCGTGTGATCTGACATGTGTGTGTCTCTGGGGTACCGTGTGATCTTACACACATGGATGTGACTGTGGTATACCACGTGGTACAATGTGTGAGCCTCAGGTCTGGTTAGCAGCTCCATCCCCTTAAACATTATTTGAAGGCATTTTAATACTGAATAAGTGGGGCCAGCTTGTGGCATAGCGGGTAAAGCCACTGCCTACAGTGCTGGCATCCCATATGGGCACTGGTTTGAGTCCCGGCCGCTCCACTTCCGATCCAGCTCTCTGCTATGGCCTGGGAAAGCTGTGGAATATGGCCCATGTCCTTGGGTCCCTGTACTCGTGCGGAGACCGGGAAGAAGCTCCTGGCTCCTGGCCTCAGATCGGCACAGTTCCAGCTGTTGTGACCAACTGGGGAGTGAACCAGCGGATGAAGATGCCTCCCCCCCTTTCTTCTCTCTGTAACTCTGACTTTCAAATAAATAAATAAAAATCTTTTTTAAAAAAATACTGAATGAGTTGGCACGTCCCTGGGGCAGTGAGAGACTTCAGTAAATGCACACCCGTGCGCTGATCCACACTGTTGGATCAAGCAGTCGGCCTGTCCCTCTCCCGGTCAGGTCACCTCTCCGCGTTTGGAGACTGTGTCCCTTCCCTTCTGGTTCTTTGCAGATCGCAGGTTATTGCGAACTGCGCCCCCCGCTGTGCTCGGGAACACGAAACTTACTCTTCCTCTGTAACTGGAGCATGGCACCTGTTACCCAGCTGCCTCCGTGCCCCCCAGCCCTTCCCGGAATAGGAATCACTATTCGCATCAGCTTTTTTCTTTTGTCTCTGGCTGATCCCAGCGAGAGTGGCACAAAGCTGCCTCTGGGGCGCAGTGGGACTGCGGCGGCAATGGGGCTGACGTCCTTGGTTGTGCAGTGCTGTGACTTTGACCTTGTATTGCCCTCAGCGACCTCCCCACCCCCATGTTCCTCCTCCCCACCCGCACCGTGCTGCCAGATGAAGCCCTCAATCCAGCCACTAACAGAGGAAAAGCTGCCCGCCCTAGGCAAAGGGCGCAGATGGAAAGATAAGAGAGGACTGGGTCCTTCACCCGGCCACCCCCTCACCCGCCCCAGTCCCTGCCCTGGATGGAGATTCTCACAGGGCTGTGCATTATGGTGTGTGGGAGGCATGAGGCTTACAAGGGATGAGTGGTAGGGACTCCTTGTGGAAGCCAGGGCAGGAAGGCGGGGTCTCTGGGCCACATCCCAGGAGATGCTGGGGTGGAGCCTTGCAGGGGCTTGGTCCCTGGGGTCCATGCAGGGGCTGGCTGCTCCCTGGGAGGTGCTGGTGTCTACCTCTCCTGGACTGGCTGCCTCCCAAGCCACAGGTGGGGGAGAAGGACTACGTGGAGCTTGGCTGACGACTCTGCCTCACTGTTAGCGCAGCCACCGCATAGAAGTCCTGAGCTAGGCCTTGAACTCAGAGCTGGCGCCAAAGCCTTCTCTTACTGCAGCCCACCACAGTCCATGGAGACATTGTCTTAGGCTCACAGCTCTTCCCTGATCCAGGGCCCCTCGGCTGGTGGTCCTTGAAGCTGTTGTCCCTTAGTGTCTCGGCCGGTGCCACTGCCACCCTCCCCTCCTGGAGGCTGGGCGGTCACTCTCACAGGTCCTTCCCTGCTCCGGTACTCTGTCACAGGTTCTCTCAAGTGAGCCTTGGGCAGGGTGGCCCTGTCCCCTCTCTCTTCCCTGCGCCTCCTGTTCCAGCGCAGACCCTGGCCTTGGCTTGCAGGAGGCCACAGCGGCCTCCGGGCCCAGGGTTCCAGCGCATGAATCCTCGGGGGTGCACTCACAGCCTCCCCAAACCCTGGCAGCCTCCAGTGTCTGCGGCTCAATGTTCCTCCTCTCTGCCCCGCCCCTCAGTGCTGCCCCAGGGCCTGGAAAAGAGAGGGGAGCTCCTGACGCAAGGAAGGGAAGATGGGGAAAGCCGGCACCTGGCCAGCGTGGCTTGAAGGCTGGATTTGGATAACTTTTTTGTCTTGAGCCCTTGCGTTCCCCACCCCTTTGCCTATGCTGTGTTTCTGTCTGTCTGGCAGGGTGAGCTGAGATGGCGCTGCGAGAATTCTAGTGGATTCTGAGGGGTCCGCTCCAGCGCCCCGCCTTATGACCAGCGCAGTGAATTGTCCTCTCTGAAGGGGGGGGTACCCATCACCCCCAGGGAATTAGAAGCAGTGTTGGGCCACCCTGCCAGAGCCAGCAAAGGCCAGATGGACACCTGCAGGGGGTGGCAGGGCGGGCGCAGGTGCGCGGGGCCCTGCTGCTGGCGGAGCTCGGTGCTGCCAAGGGTCTGGGGGTGGCGGTAGCTTTCCTCTGCAGGCTGCAAGCGTAAGCCCGTCACGAGCTCTGCGTCTCTCCCCCTTTCCGTCGCTTGGAGCCTGGAGACAGACGGAGAGAGACGCAGGAGAGGGTGTGAACCTCCGGCAGCTCTGTCGGGAAGGGAGATGAGGGAGGTGCCACGGCTGTCGGCCCGCATGCGGGGAAGGGGGCCAGGCTGCAGGAGCGCCACGCAGGAGGAAGCCGGGGAAGGGAACTGGTTTTTTTTTTTTTTTTTTTTTCGCCAGAGTCTCTCGCGCAAGCCTTGCCAAGTGCTGAAAGCTAGTGTAGCTATGCCGCTGAAGGCAGTGTGTCTTCCCTTCTCTGCGGTAGGGTTTTTTGGGGGGAGGGGGTACATGTGAGAGGTCTCCTAGGATGGAGATCATTGTCTCCATTACCTTAAATCATAAAAGGTTCCACACTGTCCTGGATGCCAAGGAGGAGTGAGACTGCACAGCTCTGGCTAGGTGGCTTTGGAAAGCTTCGGTGAACTGTGTTGGGGCGACACGTGTGCCAGTAATGGCAGCCGTCCTGCACGTGACCACAGGGCGTGTAAAGAAAATATTTGAGATAACACTAAGTGGGACAGCAGGTTATTGTCATAACTAGTCTTGTTGAGAGACCGATAACCATGGGTTGAAAACTAAATGAAAATTCATCACGGTTTATTTAGTAGAGCTTTTTAACCCCTTGGTTCTATTTTCTCTTTGTTTGTTTATTTGTCTATGGGGAAGGGGAGGAGGACAGGGAGAGACAGCGCTCCCGTATGCCAATTCTCTCCCCAAATGCCCAGGAGGTGGGAGCTCACATGGGGGGCAGCAACCCAGTTACTTGAGCCAGGGTGCTCCCCAAAATGTGCATTGTAGGAAACTGTGATCAGGAGCGGAGCTGAGACTTGCACTGCGGCCCTTGGTACAGACGCCAGCGTCCCAGCCAGTGCCCTGAGCACTGCCCCGAGGGTCTGCACCTGCTGGGGGGGGGGGGTTGTGCTTTAGGAGGCAGACGTGTGGAAGGAGGAATGCCATCTACATCCTTAGTATATACACTAAATTCAGTCATTTAGTATTGTCTGCATTTTATGTTACAGTATGCCGGGAATCTGGGTTTTAAAGAGAAATTTTTGTGAAAGAGAGAGAGACAGACACAGACAGACACAGAGCGAGTTCCCAAC